TCGTCTATTGATGCAGGGCTTTACCTGCTAGTTGTACTATACCAACCATCTATTTCGTATTTCATATTCTGTATTCTGTATTTCATATCTCTTATATTGCTAGTATTTTATTATGCATTTTTATGGTACTAATATATCGGCTCCTGTTGCTTTTTTGAGCCGAGGGTCTCCTGGAAACAGCCTCTCTACCCTTCGGGATAGGGGTAAGGTCTGCGTACATATTACCCTCCCCAGACCCCACTTGTGGGATTATACTGGGTCGTTGTTGTTGTTGTTGTTGAAATCCTTTTGACACTCCAATAGTTAACAGCTTCTTCTTTTTGAGGCTGAATAAAAAATTTAAAGAAGTAGCACAGCAAACAGGTCTTCTGAATCTCAACAGCTAAATCAAAGTACCTTTCCTTCGGGAAGTCCTCCTTCAATCCGACCTCTGTATATACCTCCCCTGTATTTCATTTCAACTATAGGAATCCACTTCTTTTTTGAATCTCGCTCGGCTTCCTGAGTATGATGATAGCACAACTTAAAACCTTAGAACAAATAAAAACAAAATTTAACTTTCCATCAAAACTCTCCCACTTAAGTTCTTCGTCATATAATCAACCAAGATACTCTGATGTCTAGCTTCCTCCATACACGGATAAATTTGAGGTGGAGAGAGGAAGAAAAGGCTCTGGTGCCATGTCTTACAACAGCTTCAACTATGTAAAAACACCAAAGCAGAAATTCAAATCTGCTCAATGTAATCATGGGACCACAACTGACTATGATTGCATAAAGCAAAATTAGTAAGACCCAGTCGTTAAGATCTACATTTCCTTTCTTGATTTCTACTTGTATTAAGGTCCGTTCACCAGTTCATGAATTTGCATTGTAAATGATCACCAGCAAAAGTTGACACAACACCTTTCATTTTCCTCGTTATTTGAAATAGTATTCGTCATTTCTCATTCTTAAAATATCTGTAGCACATAGATCTGTAAGAAAGTGAAAAAATCCAACAGCTCCACTAGCAAGTATAACACTACCTAAAGCTAAAGTTATCAAAATTAAAGAAATAGAATCAATTAATAGCAAACTATAACGTAGACAGAAGTTTGTGCAATCTAGTCACTAAAAACAACTTATAATTAAATTGATAAAGTTTTCCTTACGACAAAATTAAATTTGATTATTATGTCCAACACTAATTTAGGCTATTTACCAGCATAGAGGCCGCCCGAGAAGAGAGAACTCCTTTCTTTTTTGGAACACTGGCATAGTTTCTTTCAGTCAAGGAAGGGTTAGAGTTGTAAACATCTGCCATAATTTCGCTGTATTCTTCATCCACTGCATCCTGAGATAGACTTGAAATATCTCTAGACTGAGCGATTTTGCTTTCTTCAGATTTCCTCCCCGTATAAGTTCTTGAGTTTGAGGAACCTGGACTAGTTTGCAACTGTTCTTTCTGCTTTACACCAACCGGAAGTTTGTAGGTGCTGGTATTGTCAACCATGTCATTGGCTTCTATATTCTCGGTCCCTTCTGTAGCCAATCCTACTGAAGTGTCATTTCCTGGCCTCAGATTCCATCTGGTGAGCAGCTCTCTTTTAAAAACAAGAGGTTCTGTAAAATCCATTTCGATCAGGACTTCACTATTCCATTATAGGCTCATAACTTTGGTATGCTCTTCTAATATATTTTGTTTTCCACTTTAATCTTATTGCAATTGATGAAGGTCATTGCATACATTCATGTCAAGACGCTACTGTATGAAAAACTGAGTGAACCTAAACAAAAATAACTATGTACCTTCAGTACCAACATCATCCGTGGATGAATAAGGGTCAAAGTTTGACAGTTCAATCTTCCTTTCATCAGAAACATTATCATAATCTCTACAAACCAAAGAAATTTCTCCAAGTAAGAGCAGCATATCCGTCTGACAATGAATTCATCAAAGGTGAAATTAGATAGTCTAAAAAGAATAGAGGAAGACCTCAAAGAAGATGCTCCTTCACTATCAGTGCGAAATAATGTCTGCAGTTCCCCAGCATAGACTGACTCATCCTTACGCGCATTATCCACAGAAATAAATTCTGCCATATCAGAAATTACTGGACTCTCATCGATTTTGCTTTCTTTAGCAGTTTGAAGTGGTGGATCTGGCTTCTTAAGGATATTAAAAATGAAAGGAAGATGTTGTGCCAGTCTAGAGAATAAGTTACTTTTTTGGGAAGATTCCTGTTCAGCGTACCTAAGAATCATAAGTACTCAAGAATCAGGATTTCAGAAAGTTGTATAAATTAGCAAGCAGAATAGGTTAAACTCTTTAGCAAACCATCGCCATAACATCTTAAGAAGTGAAAGAATGTGGCAACAAACAAAGAAGCCATGTGAAAGAAAGACAGTATACAGGAAAACAAAAGAAAATAAAAAGAAAGAGGATACATTTCTCTGATCATGAACGAAAGCAGACACCAAATCTTCACTGGCTAGTCACAAAATTGTACAACATGTAGAAAGGAATCCTCTCAGTATATAGGAGAAGAAGTAACACCTAACTGGAAATATCTTCCTTTAATCAGTTGATCTCATCCTATAATGAGCAGCGCAACCAAGCTTACTTATCGGGCCCGAGTTACTAGGATATCTTGTTCTAAGAATTACAGTATCTGCATGCATTGGTAGTTGATAAAAGACAGTACATTACACTTATCTAAATGCATAGAGTACTGAATCAAAAAGACATATTATCACTATTTCATAACTTTCTTTTAGTTGAGATAGTCTTATCTTTCATTTAGAGCTAGAATCCTAGTTGTTCAAAAGTTCTAAGTAGCCCCCTATTTTATAAATAGGGCTCTATGCAAAAATAGTATCTTATAAGACAAAGAAAAGCCACATTCTTATTGGCAGGAGGTGAAGAAACAAGGCAGGGGAAGGGACTGTTTTCAATAGAGCTCTACTAGGCAAATGGAGGCTTGTGGAGAAAGGTTATCACTAACAAATATTAAGTCTAACAGGGTGAATGGAGTACCAACAGGATTAAGATGCTTTATGGAGTTGCATTATTAAGATACATTGCGAAATGGTAGGAAGAGTTCCACATAACTGTCAGACTTCAAGCAGGAAATAGAACATCAGTCAGTTTCAGGAAACAAAGATGGTACAGTGACGTTCCTTGTACAATGCCTTTCTGGTAGTCTTCAGCATATCATGCCAACAAGCAGCTATGGTAGGTCAGATCTATAGAGAATAGGGAAAACACTCTCCTCTATAAGAAACACAAAATTTTCTTGGATTGCCTATTAGACAAACTAATGAATAATGGTTTTGACTGCAGCATGTTAGGCTATGACCCATGTTTATCCTAGACTGACTCAACCTATGTTGACCCACGTAAACCTGGAGAGAGAAGGGGGAGAGAAGATGGGGGAGGGAGAGGGCAAGCTAGAGTTATAATAAGGAGATCAATTCATTAAGTGCTCATTCATCAAGAGCTGAAAGCAAAGTACAAAAGGATCTATTCAAAGAGTACTAGTCTTCCTTGAATGTGGTGGTTGAGTAAATGTTTATGCTTTAAAGTCTTCCACTAGGTCAAGGGTTCAAGATCCAAAAGGGTCCTAGACAAGTTAAAACTCATAAAACAACTAAACCTACTCTAACAAACAGATAAGAATAAAATTTGGCTCCATTTGTTAAGACAACTTACCCACACGTAACTAAAGTAGTTACTATTAAATTTGCCTCCATATTGGGTTCCTGGACAATGGAAATCACAATGTCTCCATTGCATCCGGTAGTTTGACGAAACGTGTGCAAGATGCTATGCACATTGCTGGAGTTTACAGCACCTGAACTTGCAATAATGCATATAATCACACCATTTGAGCCCTGAGAAAGAACGAGTAAGCAAAAAGGATGAAGGCCTCAAATAGAGGTCAAAAGACCCCAGAGAGAGGAAGTAAAGAACGTCAAATCATAATAGCTTACAGAAAGTACCTTTAATACTTCTTGTAAAAATTGACATATATATATATATATATATAAAATTAATTATAAGGAGAAGGGGACGATACTGATGGGGTTTAAATCCTCCACCTCAACAACTTCTTCAAGACGAAATAATAAGCTTGACTGTAGTCAGAAGTTGGAAGCAGGAACTATTAGCTGCCACGTATGTAGATGAGAAAGGAAAGCATATACTGTACTCTATCAGTGTAGTTGAATTTCTCTTTACCTTTACTCCCAGACCAAGGAAGGGGCAGTCATACACAGCTCGCAGAATTGAAGTTTCAATATTGTAGCCAGATCCAAATCCAGTCTTGGCCTCTTTGTAACTTTCAAGAATCTGAAAACAGTCACTCTAGCCTTCAGTTTTGAGCAGACTAAAAACCACAGAAAATGTATAAAATTCCGTAACAGACTCTTCTGGATTAATGCCCGAGAGCTAGCAATTCAATTCACAGAAGTTTTGGTTTGAAATGCTCCGTGTTTTATAGAGAGTAAATTGCTCCAAAAGCCACTAATTTCTTCTTCTGCCCACCAATAAGATTTAACTCAATCTGCCTGGATATGAACTGAATGAACTTACTTTCTGTTCCTCCTCCGCTTCTTCTCTTCTTCTTTTTTTCTTTTTCTTCCTTTACTTTCCATTCTTCCAAAAGATTTTCATCTAAAGTCTAAACTCCTAGATAAGAAATGACTTTGGGCTTAAATCAACCCTAAAGCTAGCTCATGAAGTGAAGATTGCGTAAGACCATATAAGGAGGCAACAACCCATTTCTTCTACCAATGTGGGACGCTTAACCCCCCCCCCCCCCCCCAAACACACACACACATCTATGACTGGACACTTGGAGCGCAGACAATATAACATAAAAGGCAGCTCGGTGCACTAAGCTCCCACTAAGGCGGGGTCCGAGGAAGGACTGAACCACAAGGGTCTATTGTACGCAGTCTTATCCTGCATTTCTGCAAGAGGTTGTTTCCACGTCTCGAACCCATGGACAACATAACGTAGGGTTACAATATTAGGTAAACCAAGAATAGGAATGGTCTGCCTCTCATACCATGTGAAAGAATTTGAACATCCAATCCAAAATCTTAATGCAATGGGTGGAATAGCCAAGGACTATATAAACCTCTTTAAATACCCTTACACAACCAATGAGGGGCAAGTGTATTCTCTAAAACCTTCCCACACATGCAACAAGGTTATTGGGTTTGCACGTGAACTAAAAAGAAATTGTCCTTTTTCTTTTTTAGATTGAAGATCTTTTTTTCTTTTTTTTTTTTTTATTTTGCCTTTTTAGGGTAGAGAAAGAGGAGGCTTAATCAAAATGGGCCTGAAGTAGATGAAGACAGATTAGGTTCAACAAGCTAAGTAGTGGGCCTAGAGCTATTTCAGTGGAGTGTCTCGACGGGCTAATTTGAGAGACAGAAACCCAGAGCAGGTCTGAGGTGAGAAAGGGAAGCCCGTAGCAATAGGACATGACGAGCGAAAGTGGTTGTGCATAGGGCTCACAAGAGTTTGACTCCGATACGATGGTAAGAAATGGACCTTGCGTCTAACTCAACCCCAAAAGTTAGCTCATGAGGTAAGGATTGTCCAGGATCATATAAGGAAACAATAGCCAACTTCCTCCACCAATTCTATTCTGAGGTTTTGCCCCTAGATTTAACTGACTCCTTTTCCAAGAACTACCAAACAGGAGCAACTTCAACCTTTCGAAAGTTGAAAGGGCATAAAAAATATTCTGATCTATAGTGTGGCGGCCTCTGGAGGGGAGAAATTTACCAGTTCTATATAATCACGGATTTCCAAGGATAGGAACTTATTATACTTATCATGCACTACTAACAGGTAATACAATCCAAGTAGAATCTATTTTATCAGCAATAGAAATTAATTATGTAAAATAAGATTTTATAACTCTTACTTTTATTAGCTCTGGACCACTCAGTTCCTTAGTACCGCCATCTATCACATCTAGAAGCTTTATGTGGTCGTCCTGATATTGTTGCAAGTGCAAAAACATACAGATATCAGATAAATCATCAATCAAAAGTTGTATAAGGACTAAGAAAGCAAGAGCCAGAAAGGCAGTAAAAAGAAGAAAATAAAAGAGAGAAAAAACAACTTGTGAGACTAATCAAAAAGGAATAAAACTTACAGACATGAGAATTGGAATGGCATTAACAGCCATCAGCACAGCATTATATGAAGTCTTCAAAGCCTCATCCAGAGTTAATAGATCTTTCTTGAGGAGACCATCAGTGTCAATAACTGCAAGGCCAAATAAACAAACATCACAATTCTGGAACTTAGGCAGACTCGCTGACAATCTTATATTCCTTTTTAGATGTGATGATTCAAAAAGCTTCAGCAATCTGCATAAACGTTATATCATGCATTCAGGAAATGTTAAATATCGCTTCCAGAATAGCTGGACAATTACAGAAAAGCTGATAGTTTCTGCAAAGGCTTTTAATTGCCTGTAATGGCAGCAATGCTGCAGTAGATATGTGATCATTAAGATTTCTAATGGATGAGTATTGTAGTAACAAAGAGCATACGTGAGATCTAAGGTAGTAATAGGCAAAGTTTAACCGACCTATACAGACAGTTGCATGCCTTTGAAGTTTGTCAATCAAATCCGTGACCTGTAAGTGGGGTGAACCATAAAAAATGTTGGGAGAAGACAAAGCTGGTAACATTTTGAAAAGGGTTCCAAAATCAATTTCGAATTAAAAAAACAGAAGAGTAAAATGCAATAAACTAGGCCTAAATCCATTTCTAGGTCTATCTTGAAAATAACTATTGATATACTTGATCTTATACCTTGTATTAATACAACAATGAGAAAGCTTAGATAGTTCTCCACACTAGATAACATAATGCATGATACATTAAGCCCAGAGGTGGGGACAAAGAAAAAAAAATAGAATCAGCTACTCCTCATGAAGTCACTATAGCAAGTTCCATTTGCACCCGCGCACTTCAACCAAAAGGTCCAAAACTAGGGTTTCCTTGATTACCTTCCTTTCAACTTATATTATAAACCTACTAATTCTTTCTTCTTCTCTTTTTTGTTAGTTAAGGACTTATTTTATTTATTTTATTCCTTTGAGTATTTCTTTTTTGGAAGCATAAAGTCCTAGGTTTCTTAGGATTAGGGTTTAGAATCTTCACTTCATAGAAAACTGGGCGCTATAACGTTGTTCTCGAACAACCTCATATTATTAACAGATATTTTTTTCTTCGGCAACTGTAGTACATTTACACACTACATATTTACTCAAATCAACCCTTCTTAAAAGTGTTTCTCAGCTTCCTCTATAAGCTTCAACACTGATCGAAGTATCTTCTCTTCTCCCAGAACATACTTAAAAATTAGACTGTATTAGAGACCAGAGAGATGATTTGGTTGGTCCAAAACTTTATCTCCTTAGATGCTCTTGCATACTCTATACTACCATATCATATGACCTACTATATAGTACACCATGTCATTTGTGCCTTCAAGTTTTTGATGCATGACCACATTAAACAACGTTCCCTATATGTTTATCAAAGTTTTGACAGGTATGACTTAAGAAAAGGGTGTCATGGCAATCTTCATTAGTTTAGAGTAGCGCAATGTTGCCTAGTCTACAAAAAATTGCCAAATGGTTGTATTCTTTACAACCAATGAGAAAATGAAAAAACAATTCCTGCTTCCTTCCTGAATTAATTTTGTTGTATTTTTTTGCCTAATATCCTTCCAACAGAAGATTTATTCAGCAGCATGGTTTCCCAAAATAGAAGTATAATACCTCATCATAGCGCCTTCGTCCTTCAAAGCTGAAAGGCTTCAAAATGATGCCAATAACTAGTCCATTTCTGGACTTTAATCTTCTTATAATATCAAGTGCTGGGACATGATCAGTGCCATAAGCCGCACTAGCCACCTAAAGAAGCAACAAGGAAATTTGGTAACTACATACAAACAAAATAGCCAAGCAACTGAAAATTAGATGGTTGAAAAGCAAATGGTTCTTTTACAGTTACTTTTTGCAAGCTTCAGCAAATAAGACCAGTCAATGAAAAGATATTTTCAATGATAAGAATTTCCTTCATGTCGTGTCCTAATAGCAATATCACAAATTATTGGGAAAAACAGAAAAGGAAACGAAAGTGCTAGATAACAAAGGATCTTCTAAAACAATTCATTTTCCTTTTATGCTAGCAGGGGCATAGTTTTCCAAAAGAGCTTAGCCCCCATTGAGATTTTTAACTCCAAACAAATGTTTCACTCCACTATAACCATTACTGAAGCCAAATCTAACTTCTTCTGTTCTTATTTTGCTAAGGTTTACTTCAAATTACTCTCACAAATTTCAAACATAGTCAAGTTTGAATTATCTACCAAACTATTTGATGGACATTCTCTACTTGAAACCAAAGGTAAATCAGAGGGAAACCAGATTTCTGTGTCTCTTCAGCCAAAAAAAACTTCAGAAAGTATCTCTTAAGGTAGAAATAATCCTTTTCTTCTTATGAAAGGTTTCGACCCTGGACATGCAGTATTAGTAGAGACACTCAAAAAGCAACTGCATCTCTGTAGGAGCTTATTGGCTCAAACATTGTTTGAAAGTAGCGTTGTTTGAAAGTAGCGTTGTGTAGCTATTCTGTCTCACATCTCTCTGACTTGGGAAATGTGCCTACTTTTTCATCCACCTTCTGACTCCCTTCCGGTGGAATTTCACTCCTTTTCCGGTGAAATTTCTCCTTCGCATAGCATGGGGGAAAAGCTCTTCTTTATTTCAGGTGACAAGTCCTACGAGCTTATCGACATCAGTGAAGACAATGAAAGATGGTTCTTATGGATTGAAAGGGGCAGTAGGTTTACAAGTAAAATTAAGATTGACGAGGACAACATCAAATGGGTATGTGAGCAAATGTACCAAGCTTCACGGGGCGCCGGGAATCTCTACAGAAGGTGGGGGAGAAAGATACAAGCCTATTTATACAGGGTATACCAAAATTACAATGTTTATGGCAGATACATCAGAATTGAAACTTGGATTGGAGACAGGAAATCTGCAATCATAATACCAGAAAACGATTACAACAGGGGGTGGGGAGATATAGCAGGAAGAATATTACAATTTTTGGGGAAGGCTTCCAACTACAAGTTCAAAAAATTTGCAGATGTACAAAAGAGATCCTTTCTAGTGGCTGCAAAGATTCCACAATGGCCTACACAAGTTAACGAGCAAGTAGATGTTGTTGATGCTACTGAAGGTGTTGCTGCTGCCGATGAAAGCTCCCAATTCCTATCCAAGTGCCTGATTGGATGTTTCAACGACCCTTTCAATCAAAGGCCCAAAGCTGAAGTCATCCAAAAATGGTTTATCACAAGGTGGAAAGTAACAGCCGGTCTCATGGTCACTCCGATGGCTCACAATCAGTTCCTCTTCGAGCTACCATCGAGACAGGAAGCAGCCAGGGTAAAAGCAGGGGATTGGTTCTGGAATGGTAGACACTTAACCCTTGAGTGGTGGTCGCCGGAATCTGGGTCATCTCCAACCAAAGGTGAAATGGGACAGAAGTGGATCAAAGCCTTTGGAATTCCTCTGCATGGCTGGACATCAGCAACTTTTCGCTTCATAGGAGATAAGTTTGGAGGATTCATAGGCACCGATGAGGACACGAAAAACAGGGCCCACATGTTCTGGGCCAGAATCTGTGTAAAAGACAAGGAGATGAGTTACCCAGGGGTCGTCGAGTTAAAAATAGGCATCAGGAGCAACAAGATTTCAGTTTTGGAGGACGTACTCATAAAACCTGCAAATTCCGGCGAGGTTTCAGTCGCCGTCAGAGTAGAGAAGGCGGCAGTCTTTGATAAACCCTCCTCGAGTCAAGCGAAGGACCCAACAAAGAACCCAGTGGTCTTTAACCATAATAGACCGATCATCTTTAATTCAAAAGTGGCTGACGTGGCAGCCTCAAGCTCAGGGCAGT